ATCGTGTATCATTTTCTTTCACTTGTGTTGTTCTCTGTTTGGTGCTGGTCTTTCATCCATTTGTCATTCCTTTCTGCTTCTGGTGACAACCCTTATTAGAAGCACAGCAGAAATCCAAGCAATGCGGATCATCATCAAAAGGTCACGCTGACACTGGCACACAGTGTCCCGTATCAGTGGCATTAAATCAGATTATATCTTATCAGATCAACCTGCACGATGAAACGGGACTGGTGTGGAAAAAACTAGAAGTCTAGAAGGACTTTGATTGGGATAAAACGAGCAACATGAACAATAACTCTTTTTTTATGAACTGAAACTATATTTAAATGTATTTGAAAACATTTCATTGACTGGAAAGTGATGACTTTTGTGAATTGGTACAACACTTTTTTTTTTCCACCCCTGTTGTTTCTTTACGCCCCTCAAATTTCCGTCACATTACCAACACAAACATCAATGCACTTTTGCAGTTTTATGTCATGCAGAAAGTAGTGCACAATTTTGGCATGTAAGCCAGGACGTTCAGTGTTTATTCTGATTATTCTTATCAGTTAAATGACTTCTAAAAATGATTAGCAAATAGATTTTATTTCCAGACTATAACAGGCTGCATAATTTATATATTTATTTCTACCAAATATTTAAAGCCACAAGTTATTTTTGTTCCATTTTCTGTTGGTCAAAGACATAAAATCACTCTAAACTACATCAAAGTTTTTGTTTGTAATATGACTTGTATTTAAAAGCTTCCCATCCTGTGTAGCTTTATAGTGACTGAGTTTTTTTTTCCTAATTCTGTCAGTACATCTTTAGCACAGAGCTCATCATGAAATGTGTAACCCACATGGTTTCAGTCAGCATGACTGTCCAACTTTGGTCTTGTCAAACTGCCTTTTCCACTGGAGTTACATAAGGCTTCCGCGAATGTATGATAACCTTTGTCTTACAGGACAGGCATCCCTGGATAGTGCACCCAGGTAACATTTTATGCTTTTTACTCCCACATTGTGCAGCAGCCTTGCACTAATGGAGTTGTCTCTTACAATCATACTAAGGGTTTTTATTCTGCAATGGCATCAAGTATTTCATGTCCATGTAGCGAGGGAATAAAAAGCGTTTGTCTCGACTGGTTGGGCAAAAACGAGCTCCTAACGTGACACAAGTGTGCTAATTGAAGTAATAGAAATTATCAGTATCCTGATCCAACTGCACCAAACCATAAAACCATAAGTTCTGCCGAATGAGGTCCTATAGTTCCCCAAAGGAAGCAAACAGCTGTGCAGTGTCCTCTCTGCGTTGTAAAATCCTGAAAAGATATTTACTATGATTACACAAATTACCACAAAAGTTATAATTAAGATGTTTATATCATGTTTATCATATGAGCATTACAATTATGTTGACGTTAAGTAGGGTTTTACCATTTTAGTCCATTGTGCCGACTAACTGAAGACAGAAAATTGACACTTTATTGGAGTCAAAACACAGCCAACACTTGTTGCTTTTAAACAACTGTCACACAAAGTGCTAAGCAACTATATCTGACCTGAAAAATGGGCACACTGATAAAATTTGATTTAAAGCCATCAATTAAACGAGCCTCTTGATGTCACTTTGGACTTTCTCTGACCGTCGACAGCCGTTATGTAAGCTCAAACTGCAAAACCTGATGCTGTGGGATAAACCATGCTGTTTCATCCAACTGGCCTCCTTCGCTCTTTATTCATATACCTGTGAATAAAATCATTCTAGTTGAAGACAAAATAGTAATGTTTCAAAGGATGAGCCATGGCCACGTTGAAACAATTATCCAACCATTGCTGTAAATCAAAATGGCAGACGAATGTCTGACAGAGGAATGACACTTGTTGAGTGTGATGTAATCTCTCTGTGGGGCATGTGACCGAGAAACACTGCAGTTTTAATACTGAGTTTTTCTCCAAAGGCTTCTGGGAGTCTCTGGCATGCTATGTTTACATATCTGATCTTGTTGTCTGACACTTATCATATTTTAGCATCTCAAATGTTTTGATTGATGAAGGAGGCGCAGCAGGTTTCCATAAAGGTCGCTGTTGCATAGTTTCACTAGAGCGAAGCTTTTACCTGCACCTGACACAAAAGGTGTGATCATGTGAGGTTCCAGAAATTTGACAAACATGTGTAAACCACTTGCATAACACCAACATACATAACGTCAACCAGTAGGAAAATGAAAATATAATTTGCTCAGCTGCTGTCATTGTCGACAGCAATGCTGAAACTGATGGGTTTTGCTTTATGAACATGCCTGACCCCATACAGAAATGAGGTTTCTTTAGCTCATTTCTGTGTTTAGAAATGAGCTAAATATTTTTTTTTTTCAGGGTAAACTTTGGATGCATATAGAGGGAGTCGTTTTCTCCTCAGTTTTTGCTCTTTTTTGCAAGGTTTTGCAAATATGCAGAGAGAAGCTGCAGCTTTGAAGCTTCCTCTTCATCTAATGTGCAGGTAGTGAAAGAACAAGAGAACCAGAGTTGTTATGTAACTTACACCTCTAGTGATTTACATTACTAGAGATGTTGTCACCTAACCTGCTTAAACAGAATCGAGATTTTATCAATTTGACTGCCTAACCAAATTTTTAAATGATATATGACAATTGTAGGTATTAATGAATAAAACTTTTGCTAAAAACTACTTAAAACTTTAAGTATTTAGCAGTTATTCAATCTTACTTTATTTTTTTGACCGTGTATTAATAGCCTCAATAGCCAGATTGAAGCTACTGAAGCCAAATCCAGTCTGCTCTGACTTGATGGGAGCAAAAGGGTCAAAATTGGAAAGCTTTTGATTTGGTCTTCAAATGCAGCCATAAGAAAAGTCATTTTATATTAACAAAACCAGCAAAGTAGAAGAGATTTTAGGTTATGTGATCGTCCACACATTATTTAAAAAAAAAAAATTGATATATGTGCAAACCTGGAAGAGACATACCTCTAAAGACTTGCAGCAGCAAGAGCTTCACAGGCACGGGCAAGTTTTTCAAATGTTCTACTTCAGGATTGGGCAGTACTTTAATGAGCGTCTATCACATAAAATCTAAATAAATTAATACTGAAGTTAAAGTTTAAAAAAAATATGAATACCTTTAAATGTCCAACAAGTTAATCCATGAGTATCAGGAATCTATTAATCGCGTTTTGCTGTAATACAAACATTCTTTAAGAAAATGAAAACCCTAAAGGGGCTTGAGAAACAAATTTGGAGTTAGATTTGTTTTAATTTCAGCACTTCAGTGTGCTGGACCTCAGGTCATATTTAATCCCATTCTCTGACCATTTAAATCGGGAACTGCAGCGGTCTCTGGAATCTCTCCGGCTCATTGTGCAAGTCCGCTAAGCCAGATTAATAAACGGACAAATCTGCTTAGTTGTGCTGCAGTGAGATCTCATCAGCGTTGCATTTATTTACATGTTTTTGTGCAGTTAAGAGGGCCTCTCAAAAATTTGCAATCCATCTTGTGAATTGGGACTAAACCTACAATAACATAAAGGAAGTATGCCTTTAAAGTCATGTCATGTGGACTAGCTGCAACCAGGCAGAAACTTATCTCTTTGTGATCAGAGCCAAAGCTTCATCTGATTTAGGTGTGATAGAAGTTCAATGAGGAAGTACAACGACATTTAAATATTTAAAGTTTAGGGTTTGTTCTCATTGAACAAGCACAAACATCATGGATAGGATAGACCAACGAGAATAATTCATTAGTGTAAGAGTAAATCATTCTTACTAAATAAAAGCTTAATTTGCTACAATCAAAAATCTTGATTTATATCTACGCTTTGACTGTGTTATTCAAAGAAGTGAAGGTGTTCTATTAGATTGAGATCTAGTGACGGTGGAGGCCATTCGAGTGCAGTGAACACGTTATTCAATAAACCAGTCTGAGAGGATTCACGCTTTATGACATGGCACGTTATCCTTTTGGAAGCAGCCATCAGAAGATGGATACTCTGTGGTCATAAAGGGATGGACCTGATTGGCAACAATACTCAGGTAGGCCGTGGCGTTGACACGACGTTAATGAGCCCAAAGTGTGCCAGAAGAATATCCCCACACCATTGCCTCACCACCACCAGCCTGAATCATTGATACAAGGCAGGATGGATCTAAGCTTTCATGTCATTGATGCTAAATTCTGACCCAACCATCCAAATGTCGCAGCAGAAATCAAGACTCATCAGACCAGGCAACGTTTTTCCCAATCTCCTATTGTCCAATTTTGGTGAGCCTGTGTGAACTGTAGCCTCAGTTCCCTGTTCTTAGCTCACAGGAGTTGCTCCCGGTTGGTCTTCTGCTGCTGTAGCCCAGCCCACAACGTTCGATTTGTCATGCGTTCAGAGACGCTCTTCTGCATTGGCTGTAACGAGCGTTTATTTGAGTTACTGTTGCCGTTCTATCAGCTCAAACCCATCTGACCATTCTCCTCTGACCTCTGGCATCAACAAGGCATTTGTGTCCCCAGAACTGCCCTCACTGGATATTTTCTCTTTTTCGGACCGTTCTCTGTAAACCCTAGAGATACTTGTGTGTGAAAATCCCAGTAGATCAGCAGTTTGTGAAATACTCAGAACATCCCGTCTGGCACCAACTACCATGACACGTTCAAAGACACTTAACTCACCTTCCTTCGTCATTCTGATGCTTGCTTCGAACTGCAGCAGATCATCTTGGTCATGTCTGCACGCCTAAATGCATTGAGTTGCTGCCATCCAATTGGTTGATTTGACATTTGCATTAATGAGAAGTTGGACCTAATAAAGTGGCCGGTGAGTGTAGTTCTGATTGCATATTTAGTCATTGTCCTGTTGAAAGGTGAACCATCCCCCAAATCTTTAGCTTTTTGCAGCCTCTGACAGTTTTTCACCAGTATGGTGGTGAAAATATCAATGTGATGTTACGTTCGTGACAGTAGACAACGTTAATTTTTCCACATCCTTACCATTTTGCATACCAGACAGAGTTTGCATGTTTTTATTACTCTGTAAACAAAACAGATTTCCGTGTGCCACTCATTCACAAAGACCAGCTTAGTGGAGTGCACAGCTGGTTATCCTGCTGAAAAAATTTCCCTGCTTTTGAAAACACCAAGTTTTATTGCTCCAAACAAGTTACATTGCAAATAAAAGCTCATCTCCCACATTAACATAAGTATATAGAAGAAGTACTAGTTGCTAAATTGAACATTGCTCTTAAAAAAGAATATGGATATTGACAACAGAATAATAAAAAAACATATTTGCAGCTACATACATTTACATTATTTCAGTGTCACTCCTTATTTTCACATCTTAACTATTTCCAAGAACAATATTGTTCAGACATAGTCAGCAAGAACAAGCTCTGTGGAATTATCTCCTCTGTTTGTTTCTTCCACATTAGTGTTGTTGTTTTCACTTCCTTGTCTCCCCTCCTCTATTCGTTGAAGTTCCAGTTTCAATTGCTCTTTCTCATTCAGGGTTATCTCAGCGTTCAGCTGCTCCTGACTTTCTTTTGCTGCCTTCTCGGCCTTCTCCTGTTTTTTCAGCTTCCAGTAGAAGGCCAGGTTTTTCTCAGGGTAGGTGACGTTGGCCAGCGGAAGCTTGAATATCCTCTTGCTCCCCGTCGTTAGGAGGAGGAAGGTGAGGGCAGACAGGCAGAAAGGCCACGTACATGCCGGCAAACCAAACTGGAATACATCAGCATGAGTGTGAGATACAAATAAATGGCAAATCAAAAAATCTGTTGGTGCAGATCTCTATACCAACCCTGGACATGATGTTAGCGATGGCTGAGCCGAGGTACGCGCAGAAAAAGGCTGCAGAGGAGAAACAGTTTTCAAATCCCCGTGATATAACGAGTGTGATTGCATATCAGAAATACCATAGCTGCGCTTGACTCAGTTTCTTACGGCTACGTGTCACACCCACACCTTTTAGAAGAAGGCTTTATCTTGGCGGGCATATACTCACCACATGTGATGGCGAGCAGGTGCACCTGCCAGGTGAGAGCGTAAAACATCCCTCCTACAGCGATGCAGGCTAAGACGCAGTTGTATCCCCAGAGACCAAAGTAAATGTCCTCAAAAGGAGCTGATAAAGCCAGACCTGTGAGGAGGAAAAGAAATGCGCAAAGCTCAAAGAACCAGAAACAATAAGTCAAAAGAAAAAAGCAGCAACTCAGAGTTCTGCTGAACTTAATATTTGCTCTATATGTGCTACTGGACAATTTACACCTAAACACAAAAAGCACATGTTTGTTAAATGCAAGAGAAAATGTAGGGTCTTCTAAAGTATGGAAAGCACGGGGGAGGTGGCATCATGCTGTGTGGCTGCTCTCCTTCAGCAGAAACTGGGAAGTTGATCAACATTATTGATGGGTAAAGTACAAGGAAGCCTATTGGGAGATGCGAAAAATTTATGATTGGGATATTGTTGATTTGATTCGCAAGGACGCAAACATAATGTGTGGTTGATTGTTGCTGTATTAGCCTCAAAAGAGGCTTTGTTCGAATCCCTCACCTGACACCATGCCCACAGCAGATCCCAGGACGGCATGGACACAGGTGATGGGTGAAGAGATGAAGAGGGAGATGATGAAGATTCCTCCGGTCCAAGGGTTGTCGCAGCCGTACACCTGACCTATTCCCACTGGTATCGACCTGAACAGCTGAAAAGGAGAGAAAGAAAAGATATTTTTCTAGAGCATTACAAATGCAAGCAATGATAAACTTTGCCTTTAAAGATAAAAACAACTTAAAAAGTACTCTGCAGCATATGAGCACATCAACGTCGTCGTGTCAGAGGTGATACAGAGCAGAGAAAGAAACAGAGGTAAAGGGGCCTGCTGCTGACCTTTGCCACGTCGATTTCAGACCAGGTAATGTTGGGCAGCTCTGAGCGTGGCTGGATGAGGACTTGGGGGAAGTGGTGGTTATAGTGGCCCGTGGCGACCATGTGGAGACACACCAGGATGTTGAATGGCAGCGTGAACACCGGCAGATCCCAGCGGGTGTTAATGGATGCCAGGGCACTGGACACAATCGGGCTGAAATAAAGCAACCCAAAACGGATGTCTTTCTTTATCACTGAATGAAATAGGGTTAAATATACTGCTGCACACGAGAAATGAAGAGACTGCTGAAGTTTTCTGAAATGAGAATATCTGCATGACAGTAATTACATTATAGAGTTTGTTGATTTCCCAAACGCGCACGCAATATTTTTGTTCTGCTCAGCTGAGGACTTGGACCCAAAGCCAATGTGCATGATAGGTGGAGAGCATGCTAACACGAATGAAACCGGATGCAAAATCCAGGTCATTCCACTAAATGTTGATTCCTAAGTTAAACGTTTTGATTGTTCTCTCAGCGATAGGTTGAAAATAAAAATGAAAAGTAATTTGGATGTTTTAAAATCTTGAAGTTGTTTTTTAATATTTCTCAAAGCTGTTTCAGAAAGTTGAAGCCTGCATGGACACGTCAGTGCTTACCACATCATGGACATGAAGATGTTGGGCAGCAGAAGCCACCAGTACCAGTCGCCTGCATTGGAGAACACAGCCATCAGGAGACCCACCAGGATGCCGTTGTATCCATAAAGTCCTGCAGCTATTGCACCCCTGAAAGAAAGTACAGCAACTGATCACTGCTGTACATATTGTAATTCACGTCAAGTACTTTTATTTATATTTCTACATAATGCTTTACTCCAGATGAATGTTACTTTCTCACCTGCTTTGCTGCAGAATGAGAGCAGAAATTGTTGCAAAGAGTGTCCCCACGAAACCGTTGAGGGCCCACCAATAATTTTGCAGGATGAGGCCAGCAAAAATGACCAGGCCACTCAGAGGGTTGTTAACAAACATCACCTGGGCTGCTCCGCGCAGAACCCAGTCCAGGAGCTGCAGCAAGAGAAACTGTTCTGAAAGGAGAAGCACAAACAAGCTCATTACCCTGATGAAAGGTTGGACAATTACAGATTTAGACTTGTAAATGTTTGTTAGTTGCATCTCAGTTTATCTTATGACTAGATTATTCTAACTTTCAGAGCAGTCTGTGCACCGTTTTGTTCTTTAGCACTGCTCTGTTTTAAAAGTTAAGGACCCTGTGTTAGGTTTGACTTACTCTCCATCCACTTTCCAAACACCTCCATGTCTCCCGAAAAATAGGACACCCCCTTGAGGAAGCGGGACCAGGCCGTGTGCAGGCATGATGGTCCTGCAGGCCCTGATTGGCCCTCCACCCTGTCTTCCTGGGTCGGGTTGTTCGCAGGGCTAGCCATGAGAGGATGGAGCTCCTGGATTTAAATAATTGCACACATTGCTTCAGTCATGCAACCCAGGACTATTAGCTGAATTAAAGAAAAACACAAACTTACAGTGAAGACTGGAGAAGGAGAGCTGACTGGAACAGGTGCAGAAGAGGAGCTGCTGATATTCTTTTGAATATCCTAAGTAAGAAAAACTACTTTTAATATTTGAGTATAAAACCACTAAAAGCTTTAAAATTAAATATTGTCAATTCAAATGCAAGTTATTGTTTAAAAGCAGAAAGAAATCGTTTCATTATTTTAAAGTTGGCTTTTTTACTTCTGCCATAGGCAGCCTTTGTTCTCATCAGATATTAATTTGTAAGGGAGTTTACACTGTGCAAGGTAAAAATTAACTTTAGTACATTTTTATACTAACCCTTGTGTCGTCTTGGAGGTCAGACGTGACCCACTAGCATGTTTAGCTGTAGAAAAACTACCTGACTACCAGGAAAAAAAATATTGTCCAATCACCATTTTTTTTTTAATCCCACAGTCTTTGTAAGGTAATTGGAATATTTATGCACTTACTTTGTCTCTTCCCATAAAATGTTATTACTGTTGAATGCCATTTTTATGAATTAGAAAAAGGTAAGTACAAAAGTCCCACCCCTTCACATGTGGTATCATTGAAAAGCCCTAAATGTCCTCTCTAAATACCAAAAGGAATGAATTCAGTAGAATGCAGGGGGTGGGAGATATTCAAGTTTAGAAATGTCCTCTACAGAGGACAAAAATGAATTACTGGTAGTCAGGAGGTTTTAAACTATCTTTTTCCAACTTGAAATTTTATGACTTTTCCTAAATTGATCCCATCATTAGAAAAAGTGACACTTTGTTTTTATTTATTTCTGCATTTGGGCAGTACACCACTACAGCACAAGGATTGTCTTATGGGTCATTTCTGACCCGTGAATTATAAAACTATTTAAACAGCAGAAAAAAGTTCAAATACATAAACACACACACCTACACACCCAAAGGTCACATATAAACTTTCTGTAATACACACACCTACACACCCGGATATGCACCCACACACACACACACATCAAATAAACTGGATCGATGTACGATGCACTGCATCGAGTCAAAACGGATGTTGTCTGACGTCTGGTAAAAACTGTGAGCTTTGCTGAAGTAATTAAAGAAACAAGTTCAAATCCATGCTGAGAGTGGAACTCCTTCAATCAGTGCTCCTCCTCAGCTCTGATTGGCTAAGCAATGTAACGTGATCCTCTGCAGCAAAGCGGGGCGTCATCACGACTTTACACAAGTGTGTCTTTACCTCCGCGGCAGAGGCTCCGCCGAACCCCTGAGACCGTCTCATTGAACCCCTGGGGTTCGATCGAACCCAGGTTAAGAACCACTAGTATAAAGGATATAAAGGTGCCCTAAATCAAAGTACCGCTAGTTGATTCCTTGCTGAAGTCATGAGTAGATTTGTCACTGTCCAACAGGTTATAGGTTGTATGTTCACACATACTGTCCTACACAAGATGTTGAACATCTTATATAATTTTGCAGGATGTTAAACATAAGATTTTGAACATCTTATGCTCAATATCTTATGCTGAAGATGTCCTTATGATAAACATCCTTCAACATTCTATGTTGAAGGATGTTGTATGAGAGAAGTATTTTCATAGTTGATATCCTGAACAGTATAAATAAAAGAATGAGCTGTTGACAAAAAAAGTTACAGATTGTTGACTTTTTTCCCTTTCAGTATAATTAATTCAGAAGGAATTACTTCACATTTATATGATTACAATAATAAACTTTTACTGTGTAAAAGAAAACTTATGACAGTTGGTTTGTCGTAAAAAAGAAAAGTGTGGTACTGTTTGTCGTTTTGTGTGTGTAACAAAAAAATACATGATAAAAATGAATCAAATTGAGTTGAATTGACAAATAACAGATTGTTTCATCGTGCAAAATAGATTTTGGATTTCAAATTCAAGTAAGCTGCTTTATTTTGGGGCTTTTGTTAGGGCGGGTCATTTTTGACACGAAGGACAAGGGGAGTAAACGGAATGAACGCACGAAGGTTAAATATTTAAAAGCAAAATCAATTCATTCAAGCACAAGAACAAAGAGCCAATTGTTTTCTCTTATTAATATTTTTTAATACTAGCTCTCTTACACAAACCCTTTTACTTGCATTCCGATCATATTTAACTGTTTTTGTGCACAACACAGACTTCAGCGAGAATTTAAAAAGTGCCCCTACCTTTGTGCAGTGTGATTCAGTCATATGTCACAGAACAGGCTGAGGCTTCAGGCACTGCCAGCTTCTCTTAAGCTGCATAACGCAGAGCTACAAGAGCTTTTATGCAGAAGAGAAAAACTCCACCTCTATTTCACACCCACGTCTTTTTTTCCCTTGCTCATCAATAACAGGATAAGACAACCTTTCACCACTTCTTAATCTCTGAAGACACATAGTCTCCTAATTTAAAAAAAGTATATATTTTTCTGACTTCTTTTACTGTGAGCTATGAATGAATGGCAAATTGCTACCAGTATTACAAAGCTGTAAAATGTAACCGGATGAAACGGATTTCTTTTTTTGCAAAACAAAATAATACATATATTTTTATTTTCTATTTAACTAACAAATATTACAACATTTCCTGAAGCATACGTTGCTAAGTCCTTGTCTGCAATTTGTCTATGTAATTTTGCTGACAAACTCTAAAATACTGTATATTCAGAAAACTCACATAATCAAGTCTTCATTTTTTTAGAAATTAACTTATGCCTGACATATTGTAACACAAGACAGACAGTTAATTGAGTGAGATTTCTGGTGTGATTAAAAGAGGAATGAAGTAGAAACAGGTCCAGTGAAATGCATCATATGTCTCTAGATCTTTCCAGGAATATTTTTAGAAAGCTGTTCCTCATGAGCAGCAGGCAAACATTTGATGTGTTTTACTGTGTAAATTAGAATGAAAAGGATTCAGTCACCACCAAAAAAATACAGCAACTGAATTGATGCACAAAATCCTAAATCAAACGCCAACCTTCAGAAGACCAGCCCTTGAGGTCCTGCCCGTGGTCAAAAAGGGATGGAAGAAGGGGCAGCACTGGTGAAACACAACTGGATCGATATGAACTTTGTACCAAAAATGTGGATACAGCTCCTGTTTTGGGTGTACAAACTCCACTTTTTCCCTTTTCTTAAAGTTTGGGACCACTGCTCTTTTCTGCCACTCTCCAGTCACAAATAAGTGACTGTTGGGTTATTTGGGTTCTTTTTTGCACCTGCATTTTGATCATTTGTTTTCTTTTTCTGCTTCTTGCTTTTATTTAGATTGTTATCAGATGTTTATTTACTTATGTTAATTATTATTTGCTTATGTTAGTTATTTTTGTTAATGTTTTTTTTCTTCTGTTTGCTGATTTATGTTTACTCCCTGCTATCTCTGAACCAACCAGCCACCAGTTTTCTGTCCAGTAATCGGTATATATTTGCCTGCTTTTCTTTTGTAATTGTTATATGAATTATTTTGTCTTTGGTCCTTAAAATACCCAAATTTTCACATAATTTTATATTTTGGGCTGACTGGTGATGTAATTTTTAAACATTTAATAATTGTTTTGAGCATTTTTATTATTTTTGTATGAAATGTTGAACTTGAGTAATAATTTGGAAGGTTATTTCTTTTTACTTTTACTTTTATTTGAGTAAAACATGTTGAAGTAGAGCCACTCTTCCTTGAGTAAATTCTTGGGTACTCTACCCACCTCTGTAAAATGCATCAATATTTGAAGAAAGGTTGCCACACACCATGTTTTGCAACAAACTATGTTCTATTGCTTTGATGCAAAGAAGAAAAAGAAATCCTAATGCCAAACTGTTGGTTGGTCACACCGATACTGACATCTTGTGGACACACAGTTACACTGTGTGCACAATTATTAGTCAAGTCTTATTTTTGAGGACTATATTTATGCTGCTTAATTATCCGCCGCACACTCCAGCCCAGTTGGTGGCGGTAGTGCGCCCATAAGCTGGTCTGACACGCGCCAGAAGATGGAAGAAGATAATGAACGAGAAGAACAACAACTATGGCGGCTGAATGACGGGCTCTGTACCCGAGGTGTCTGCTCGAACATTTCCATTTCCCGTGCGGACAGAAAGGTTGTTTTGGATCCATTTATCTGAAACCGCCGACAGGGCTGCTGCTTCCGCTGAAGAAGACGATGAAGATACGCAGCCCAGCTGAGTTTCCAGGCCGACCCAGACCCGAAGCAATGCGGTAACTACTGTTAAGAAAATAAATTTAGAATATACTAGTTTGAAAACTTAACATGTCTTGATTGAAATAGCCTAATTATAGTTTTCAGATTAATCATTTATTCTGCCCTATTGACCTTTATTTTATCTGTAGTTGCAGCAGATTGTTTGCTCAGATCTTTCTGAAAGTGCCTTTTGTCTGTCTGGGAAACAATCAGGAGAAGTTCCAGCTTTTCACACTGATCTGTGAAAAGCCATAAAACAGCAGGAGTCCAGGCCAGTACAGGAGAGTCTCTGCTTCCACTCTGTTTAGACAAAGGGGACAAATGGCTTTTGATCTTCTAAGCAAATTACAGGGAGTCTCTAACTTTAGAGAGGGTCAGAGACAGCTCCTGGTTGGATGAGCAAAGATACGCCTTATTTGAATAAATTAAAAGACAAGAATACGCCTTTACTATAAAAATTTGTGCACGTGAGGAACAAACTAGATTTGCTCTTGCAATTCTCCAAAGACGTCTTTGCTTTTCTTTCTTTCCTTCTTCTTCTTTCCATTTATGTCAGGTAAATGAATGTCTCTGTTGTTCTGCAGTTTCTGTTGTAATTTCATACGTTGTCTTCTATTGGATTAAACTCCGTAATTCTGTGACGTCAACACTCATTGTAGTTTTCTGTGTGGCTACACGCGGTCCGCCGGGAGAACCTGGGATCCGTAAGAAGATTGAGCCAGAGATATTTCCCAAAAATATACTATAACTTAAAATCTTCTTCAACACTACTTAGCGATGTTGAATGGTTAATATGGGCCAGAAAAGAATAGGTTTGCATTGAAAACTTTAATAAGTACACCGCTTTGGACTCGATCACTTTTTTGAGATTGTGTACAAATTGTGAACATAAGTCACAAATGATCGCCCTATGTATGAGTCCATCACAAAATTTTCACATCTGACTTATGAAAGCAGTTTAACTTAGTTTTTTCCTTCTTCAAATCACTGTACATAAAGGCAATGTTTACTTCTAAATTATTAATTTACTATCTGATAAACAAAATGTTTCATTTGAAGCAGAAGTGTTCAAGAACTATAGATTCCTAAAAAGTTGTTGAAAGCACTTCATTGAAAGAAAATTTTAAATTTCAAACTTCTCAAGATAAAATAAATGAAATAAAGTCAAATCTAAGTGCAAGTGTTTTAAGGATTAAACAGTTTTGAATATCTTAACCTAAATATTTCATTACAATTAAGCCAATTTTCTTAGCAAGAATTATTTCTGACTGGATGTCATTGAGGGGAAGTTTTTCATTTGCAATATTTTAGGCAGCATGAAACTAAATTTTCATCATATATGTATGCATTGCTTACTTGACATTTTGAAGTTTCAGTGGCTTCCAAATCATCTTTTTTTATATAAAATAATAACTATGTTTTTGTTACAATCACATTAACCATTACTTTTTATTCTTTCGCTTATCCAGACCTCCCTCAACGCAGTGCCTGAAAATAAAGCGAACTTCTCACTGACCACCAGTTCTACAACCAGACAAGAAACTCCCAAAACAGACCAGGACTTCAGCAAAATATGGAGAACCACTGTGAAGCACAACCTGCATGGGTAAAAGAAGAAAAGGAAATATTAGAATCTCTGCAAATGAAAGAAAATTGTGGAGAACCAGAGCCTCTTTTCATTAAAGAGGAGCTAAAGAAACCAGGATCACAAATAAAAGATGAACAAGAAGAAATAGAACTTAAGCAGGTAAAAGAGGAACCAGAACCGTTGCAGATAAAGACCAAACAAGAAGAAATAGAACTTCAGCAAATGAAAGAGGAGAGAGCAGAGCCCGAACCTCCACAGATAAAATATGAGCAGGAGGAACTCAGTATAGTGCTAAAGAAAGAGCGGCTAGAACTAAAACAGCTGACTGATACCTGTATAGTAAATACCACTTATGAGGAAAAGGACCTCTGGGAACCAGATTCAAACAGGGAACTTCTGGAGATATCTTTAGAACCTGAGAACAAAAATTATGAAATAGGCAATGATGAAGACACCAGGTCGAGTAGCGATGAAGAACCGAATCAAAATGAGAGATGCCAGAAAAGCATAGATCAAGATGACAACGTAGGCAATCCAAACACAAAACGATTGCCGAAAACACACATGAATGATAATTTGTCTTCTTGTAAAGTATGTGGCAAGTTATTTGCACGGTCGTATTTGACAGAACACATGAGAATTCACACAGGTGAGAGGCTTTTCCCATGTGCTACCTGTGGAAAACATTTCATTACTGGAAGTAAGTTAAAAATTCACGTCAGAACTCACACGGGTGAGAGGCCTTTCTCATGTTTGACTTGTGGAAAAAGTTTTAGTGACAGAGGAAATCTGTCAAAGCACGTGAAAACTCATTCAGGTGAGAGGCCATTCTCATGTTTGACTTGTGGAAAAGACTTCACTAATAAGGGAAATTTATTTCAGCATGCAAGAACTCATAGGGGCGAGAAGCCTTTCTCTTGTTTGACCTGTGGAAAAGGTTTTGCCCAGCAAATTCATCTGAACGACCACATGAGAGTTCACACAGGTGAGAAGCCTTTCTCATGTACAAACTGTGGAAAACGTTTCAGTGAAAGAGGAAATTTATTTCAGCACATGAGGACACATTCAAGTGAGAAGCCTTTCTCATGTTTGACTTGTGGAAAAAGTTTTACCCAGCAAATTCACTTAAGTGATCACATAAAAATTCACACTGGCGAGAAGCCGTTCTCATGTTTGAGCTGTGGAAAAAGTTTCCGTCGTAGCAGTCATTTGACTGTTCATATGAGAACTCATCCAGGTGAGAGTTTATAAGTCATAAGATTTATTTTTAACAGCTGAAGTGCCAGATGTGAAGTTCTTCATATGAAACTTGCCTTCTTTGGATTTAAGCTTTAGCCAATAGTTGGCTGGTTTTCTCCAGCAACTATTTTGCTATTTAGACTTAAGATCTCGTCAACTCAAACAAACATGACCTCCAGGGTTTGTTTAAAACTAAAATTAAATAAAAATAAGAAAAAAATTAGGAAATGGTTATTTTGGCTATACAACTTGATATCTTTTTTTACATTTAGAATGTAATTGAAGTATTTTTGATAAAACTAGTTTTATTGAAAATACTAGTCTTAGCAGATGCTGTCTAACTTGGAGTAGTCCTTATGGTGCCACACTTCAACTTCTGATTGGTTGAGCAGTATCTCTTGATAACTCTGTACTGTGAAGTGCATTATCTTTGTGATCTAAGATCCATAATCCCAATTGCACCTTAGGAACCATCAAGAGCATTTTGCCTCCAAAGGTCAGAGAAAACTTCACAGATTTCAAAGACTTAAGTGAATTAGTTAATTTGTATGTCCTGTCCTTCCAGCCAAGTGAGGCATATATGGGAGAACAGAATGTGACCAGCTATATTTGTATCTGGTGGTTCTGGATTGATGCTTTTTACTTTTAAAGTAAAGTTTTAAAGTTTTTTTTTTTTAAATCAAAACAGGTCTCTCATGCAAATTGGATCTCAACTGGACAACCTGTGTAAATAAAGGTCAAATTAATAAAGTAATGGAGCATGGAGCTATGTCTAAGCTTTGATCTTCCCTTTCTCATTGGTTTGTAGATTAGTTTTTGTACATTTGTTTGCATTTTGTTTCTTTTATTAAATTATTAGCATTAGTTTAGAAATGTATTTATTTTTTAATTCTAACAGGGAGTAACTCGTTGAATTTTCTCCAAAGATAAAGCGTCAGTGTCAGTGTTCAAAAAGAAATGTAAAGGTGACTAATCTCCTGATTCTTCTTTAATGTGATTAGGATCACCTGGAAGACACTTAAGCACATCATCTAAGAAAATTATTTATTGTAGGCTAAAATCACTTAGTTGAAATATTCTAATCCTAATTTAACTGTGGGATTAAACCAGCTGTGGGGAAGGTTAAAACACCTCAGAGAGCTTGGAAATCTAAGTATTGGACAACAATAGGTTCACCAAACATGAGTTACTCAATTTTCTGGCATTGTGTACAGGCTAACCATTGGTGGGCAACAGTTTTGGGGAATAGAAAGAAAGATCTCGCCTACCTGTGGTGGAGATAATATCAACCTCATCTTTTAAGGTGGTGGAACCCTTTGATAAAACCTGAATCTGTCAAATTATCTTTTGTGTAATGGACGCCAAATTTCTATTTGACTGGTTGGATGGAGCTGCTATTCTACATGTTACTAATCTTTGACTTTTTGCGCATGTTGTCTTGTCCGTGAACTATGTAACTTATTTTTAATTGTTCATGTATATTTTTGGTCAAAATATTTGTCTGTTCTGAGGTTACTGAACATGAGCTGCACCTTCCTTTGAGCTGACCAGTGGAGTTATGTTAAACAGGCATCCATTGATTGTAGTGCATCTGCTTGCATCTTGGTTAAGTAACTATAACCAACTTATAGTTACTTAACTTAATGGTGTGACCATTTTTATAGAAGTAATTCATTTTAATCCAAATATGCAATAATGATAATAATGCAAATAACAGAAAAATAAACCAGATAAAGAATAATATGAATTTGATCAGATGGAATAAAGAGAGATTAAAAATATGTTGAAAATGGAGACTGAACTTAAAAAAAAGTTAAATACACATGCACATTATGTACTTTGTTTTTTATTATTATCCCACTCAGTGCAACTCCCTTGGATTATACATCCAGTATTCCCGTTTCTAAAAACTACACAATATTTGTTTGTTATAGTCTTGTACGCTATAATATTACTACTATTGTTATTTTTAATATATATATATATATATATATATATATATATTGTCTTATCACTTGAACCTTTGCTTAAACCTATACATTTATTGCTGCACTTACACTTGATTTCCCCCTTTCTGAGCAATAATGACTTTTTTAAAAGGACCAAGTTTATAAAAGTTATGTATGAAAACTTAATATTTGGTTTTCAGACATTTATCTTGATGACAGCTATCTGCAAATAAATGGCAGCAAAACAAAGAACCCCTGGTGTTCATTACTCAACGTGGACAGAGTGTCTCTGTCCTGGTGGTGCTTTTATACCCACATATCATTTGGTGAAACTTTTTGGTTTTCATCATCAAACTCAGAACATCCCGCACAGATGTTTCATGCTGAGCCATTCCTGAACTTTTATTTATCAAGTAAAGCTATTCTTTCCGCTATGTGCCAAATTGACCAGGAGTGCAACTCAGTTCTCCTGTCCAGTAGGTGGCGACAAAGAACCAAGACGTTTCTTTCTAACCTCTCGGTCTGTCAGCAGTGGGGGTTGTTTCGCCATTGTGTCTCTCCAGCGACAATGTCTTTATCCCAGTCTCTGAGAATCTTTATCAGGGAGCGACTGACCGCTGCTGCTGAAGAAATATTCAGAGTTTGATAAAAACCATCATCCAGTACGAAGAAGAGTTGGATCGTCAGCGGAGACTGCTGGAAATCTGCTGGAAAACCAGCATAGAGCTGCAAAGAATAGGTATAAACCACCAGAGAAACTGATGTTGCTTTACTGATCACAGAAATGCAGGAAAGTCTGGTTGGAAGTGTTTTCTATGGACCTGATGTTTTTAAAGGATAGGCAGCTAAGGTGGCATTGGTGTCTGATCAGAGTACTGCCAATTAAGTAAGTGATTCAAAAAAAGTTTCTCATTTACTTTTAGGTGAATGAAATACATCTTGACCCAACACTAACCAAAGACACTTTAAAAGTTCTTACAGAGGAGACCTCTTTGAACTAACACCAATTTTAATCATGGATGAAGAAAACACCATTTATGATACCAGGTGACTTTCTCCAATCAATGAAGACAAGCTATCAAGTTTTAAATAATTGCAGACTTCCCAGATGTGAGCTCGATCTTCGTTGAATAATTTTACACAATGAAATATATTTGTCACTTATAAACAGTACAAAAGATTTGGAAATCTGCAGACTATTTCTGTTTACAATAGACCAGCTAAATGATGAGATGGTTTCTTTTGCCTACACTAATACTTCCTTTTTACTACATAAATTCATTATTAGTTCAAAAATACATCATAGATCCCAAAGGGTAATTAAATACTTGGCTTTAAGTTGTCAAAGCAAAGTGGTGTTTTTAATGGCCACGTTAATAATCAGTTTTGCCTTTTTGTCCCTCCAGATTTCCCACAGTGTCATGTCTGGAATGAGGAGGAGGTCCTCAATCACAAACATTTCTGAAATCAGGAGAGACACTTCAGTTTGGACCAAGAAAACTACAACCTCAGCGCATGAATAAGTTTCAAAGTGAACAACAATGTTTGATAAAGATCAAGCACAAGAGGGAAGTAGAGCCAGAATAAAGTAGAAGGTCTGGAAAAAAAACAGAACAAGATGAACAAAGATCCTCTTGCATAAAAAATGACCAAGCGGAACCAGAACCATCACAGATAAAAGATGAACTGGAGGAACTTTGCATCAGCCTGGAGAACATCAGCCTCCTGAACTGAAGCAAAGGAATATCTTTATGGTGAATCCTACTCATGGGGAAATGCTCCACATGGAACCAGAACCAAATAGGAGACGACCCCTCATTCAGATCTACTCTGAATCCAAGAATCAAAATGAGGAGCAGAGATATCAAATAGACCTGGAATCCCATAGAAATAAAGGGCTGGATCAAAATAAGAGGCCTCAGAACGCAAAAGGTCCCGGTGAACATGTAGAAGATGCTGAAGTAAAAACAAACAAACATGAGAGTAGAGTTCTCTACATAATTCAAAAACTGACATTCTAACAGAATATTATTGAAAAGCTCACTTTAGGAACTTTATCACAAAATGAAACCTATGGATCAATTACACACAGACGGATGTTTGAAGGTCTTTATTTCTGTCATGATCTCCCACTTACAGCTTATGAAAACATGGCGTTTAAAATTAGAATATTACATCAGACCAATAAGAAAGTAATCCAAAAAAATTTGGGCTTAATGAAAAGTATATTTAATACCTGCTGAAAGGTTATTTTCAAAAATACTTTTAATCTGACAACAGACCTCATCTGAACGAATATTCCAATTTATTAACTATGACAGTTTTCTGATACTGGGATTATCGCAAAACTAAACCAGCTCACCTCTGTGAATTTTCATATGAACAGTCAAATTGCTTTTTTGACAGAAACTTTTTCCACAGGTTCTACACGAGAAAGGCTTCTCACCTGTGTGGATCCTGCTGTGGTGAAACAGACTTCCTCTTTCGCTAAAACTCTGTCCACACGTCAGACATGAGAACGGCTTCTCCCCAGTGTGAGTTCTCATGTGACCAGACAAACTGCTATTTTGAGAGAAACTTTTGCCACACGTCAAACACGAGAAGGGCTTCTCGCCTGTGTGAGTTCGTATGTGACGAGTCAAATGGATTTGCTGAACAAAACGTCTTCCGCAAACCAAACAGGAGAAAGATTTCTCGCCTGTGTGCGTTTTTATGTGCTTAGTTAAGTTTCCCCGTTCACTGAAACTTTTTCCACAAGTCAAACATGAAAAAGGCTTCTCGCCTGTGTGAGTTCGTATGTGCTGATTCAAGTAATTCCGAGCAAAAAGCCTACCACACACTTTACAAGGAGACAGATTATCATTAATGTGTGTTTTCCTCTGTGGTTTTACTTTTGGATAGCCTACATTGTCACTGTGACCTCTGATTTTCTGACGCCTCTTAATTCGCTTCAGTTCTTCATCTCTACTGGATCCTGAGTCTTCATTTTCATTTTCACTCATTTCCTGGAGTTGGTTGTGGGCAAGAAGTTGGTCGGAGTTTGGACCGGGTTCCCAGCAGTCTCCGTCCTCATAAACCGGATTCACCATGATGGTATCAATCTCTTGTTTTAGTTCTAGCTGTTCTTTGGTCAGGCTGATGTAGACTCCCTCCTGTTCATCTTTGATCCTTGTTGGTTGTGTTTCTTGCTGTCCTTTTGCATAAAAACATTCTTGTTCCCCATGGCTCTTTTGCATTTGCAGAGGCTCTAGCTCTTCAGG